TTTTTTTTTACTAATGGGTATTTTAAAAGAACTATTTCATAATTCCTAAACTCCTAGTTTCAAACATTTGACAGAACTTTGCACTTAAGTTTCATATACAGTAGCCCCCCCACCCCTTATGGATAGTTTTGCTTTCTGTAGTTTCAGGTACCAACGGTCAACCACAGTCCGAATACAGGTGAGTACAATACAATATTTTGAGAGAGAGAGACCACATTCACAGGACTTTTATTTCAGTTTATGAGCATTGTTAAAATTCTTCTATTTTATTATTAGTTATTGTTGTTAACTTCTTACTGTGCCTAATTTATAAATTAAACTTTACCATAGGTATGTATGTATACGAAAAAGCATAGTATACACAGGGTTTGGAACTATCCATGGTTTCAGGCATCCACTGGGGACTGGGAACATATGCCCTGAAGACAAGGGGGAACTACTGTGTTTTCTAATTCTGTACATTTCTTATTGCTTATCAGTCTTGTTATTCTGCGCCTGAATATTTAAGAAATATATCAAGCTGACAAAAAGCTATTAGACTGTTTTTTACCACAAAAATATAGAAAATTAACTTCATGAATCTGGCTCACACTGAAAGAATATTTATTAATGCTACAAATCAGAAATCCAACGACAGAAATACTGTCTGGAATATAAGAAGAACAAAAATGAGGTCACTTGAATTGCCCTGAAAAGCTCTCCAAATTCTTCAAGATGGCTTACTTGTCGCTATACTCTGGAGTGTTTAAAATTTAACTAAAAATTAAATGAGTTTTTATTTGCAAATATAGGCAGTTAAATGACTTTCAGTAACAAAATGTATCAAAATATTTCACAGGTCTAAAACGCAGCCCAGTTAACATTTTAACAAAATAACATTTAGAAGAAGGCATAGCTATTTTTAAAGCTATTCCATGACATTTTTGTGTTTAAAGTTTCAAGAAAAAAAATAAAATGATTAAGTCACACAGAACTATAAAATGCCAAATCCAAATTAACTCCCATAATTTTTCTATTTTGTTATGAATATTCTATAATATCACTCATTTTTAATCTGCCAAAAATATGGGTTTACAAAATGTGAACAAATAATTTTTAAGGAGTAAATTATGTTAAGATTTTTATTACTTTTGATTCATTTTATAGGCTAGTAAAACAACACCTCTTTAAAATCACTTAAATGTTATTGATGCTATCACAAAATCATTGCAAGTAAATTTTTTCTACTATTCAATTATACCTAGTTAACTTTAAATATGTACAGCTTTCTCTGGACAGGTACCAAAAGGCACCAAAGTTTGTACAGACTTAATCGTGAAACCTGGGTGAAATAAATTTTCAGACCAAAAAATTTTTATAAGTTTAAATTATTCACTCTTTAAATTTCAGACAATGTCAGTGAGACTTCTATTACTAAAGGGAAAAAATTAGTTTAAGGCTGGGTGTGTAATCCCAGCTACTAGGGAGGTTGAGAGGGGATGATCGCTTGAACCCAGGAGTTCGAGATCAGCCTGGGAAACATGGCAAGACCTCATCTCAAAAAAAAAAAGTTTAAAATTTAATAATCACAGGTTTAATAACTTTTTTTAACACTTAATATACATTTTCATGAGCAGTAATTAAGACATGTTGAAAATTTAAATGTGAAAGATTTCAAAGTTTCAATGTTAGTATTACTCTTTAAATGTTCTCAGTATATACAAACATATATAAATTATAGATACAACTAGTTATATATCTACAATACATATATGAATACCGCTCTCCTTCCTTAGCCATATTGATACGAGGATAAAGTAATAAATCTCTGCTATTCAAGGCAAAAAAAAGAGAA